AGGTTTTGAATTGTTTCTAATGCTGTGTTTATCTTATTTGATTGTTCCTGTAGTGCTTTCCTGACTTCTTCCTTATTTTTCTCAACTCCATTATGTAGTGTTTTGATACATTTTATAATCATTTTTCTGAATTCCTTCTCTGGCATTTCCAAAGTCTGCCCATCTTCCAGGATGGAGTGTAGGTCTACTTCCAGCTCATTGCCTCAGTCACTTTATCTTGTTTCTGGACATGTGCAGATATGGTCATCTGCTTCTGTTTTTTGGGCATATTCAGGGATTATCTTAGGCCTTAATACTTAGATGGGTGTGTATTCCGGTATTTTTTTTATGCTTTCTGATTGCCTTCAGGTAGATGTAATCAGGAAAGAGCTTCCCTTTTCACTCATTTTCTTAAGAAATTTTAAGATGCCACTGTTAGTTGTTGTGACAGAATTTAGGATTTAATTTTCATCCTGTTCCCCTTTTTGTCTGCTTGTCCCATTCCACAATTCCTGTTCAGGTCTTTTTTCTAGTTGTAAACAGTTCAGGGCCAGCTGTGGCCGTTTGTTTCTAAGTGGAAACTGTCTCTTTAAATTTCGAGGAGATCTGTGTGCATGTGTAGTAGAACCCTCCGAGAGTGGGGCTGGGGTGTCCACTAGCGCAGGCACCCCTATAGTCACCAGAATGGAGGTGCGCAGACAGCAAAGGACCAATGAACAGATACCAAAAGAAAAGAATGTCCACACCTTTATCTCCATGGTTCTGCCAGGCGTCTGTGGCTGCTCCGCTCCTTCCCCCGCTTGTCTCACTCAAGATGGCGGCTCCTGGAGCAGCTGAGCATCCTGAATCAGAAAGCAATGGATTTCTTGCTTCTACCACAAACTCCCCCAACTGTAAGCCTTCCAACCTTCTAAACATTCCTTTTTATAATGTGATTCAGAGTTTTGGGACCATCCCCTGAGCCTGCTTGGTCCTGTATTCTGTGTTGTTGCTGACGGAGTTCCTTACTGCACTTCCACCCGATCCGCCATCTTGTTTGTTCTTCCATGCTAGTCTTTAGGAAGATGTTTTTCCTTCCCACTTTGGATATTTCCTGTAGAGTTCTTGTTTGAGAACTTTATGAGACCAGACTCTTGTGCCATTAGTAGAAAACAAATTAAGGAATCTTCTCCTGTTGTCATCAGCTGGCTAATTACTTACTGTGGTTAATCCTTGGCTTGCTGAAGACTATTAATTGGGTAGTTTCAATTCTATATGCGGTCATTTTATTTGTTCCCTTTGGCCCTATACATTAGTTGAAAACCTTACCTTGTGCTGTCTAAGCGTTTGAGTTGCAATTTAGAGTTTAAATTGTTAAGTGAAATGTTCAAATGTTAACTGAAATATTGGCTATTTGAATCCACCTGGCTGTTTCTGGTGTGGCACTGTAAGATAAGCATTGGACTGCTAACCGTAAGGTCAGTGGTTCAAACCCACCAGCTGCTCCTTGGAAACCCTATACACGACTGCTGTGAGTTGGAACTGACTCAAAGGCACTTAACAACAACAGCAAGCCATTCTGTAGGAGAAAGATTTGGCTATCTGCTTTCATAAAGATTATAGCCAGGAAAACCCTGTGGGACAGTTCTACTCTGCCATATGGGGTTACTATGGGTTGGAATTGACATGGTGTTACCCAACAGTAGGGATGCAAACCATGCTCCCATTGTCTCAAAAGTGAAAGTATTTCAGTAATAAAGTGATGGTCCCTAGAACTGAAAGAAATGATAGATTGACTAGAATCTGAATGTCTTTGTTTTTTTCTAGTTCCATGGTGGGAGTGAATCTGCCACAGAAGGCTGGTGGTTTCTTGATGAAGAAAGAGCTGAATTACTTTGCCAAAGCCTTGGAGAGCCCAGAACGACCCTTCCTGGCCATCCTGGGCGGGTATGAAGTTGTTAAGATCACCCTTTAAGAAGTGTGGTTTCTTGGTAGTAGTCTATAACTTGGGTAGTTTATTTTCACCTGGTACAATTAAACTGGGTAACTGAAGATGATTTATAAAGGGACTACGCGTATGGGAATCCAAAAGGGATGGTTTCCTTTGGGGCTAGCAATATCCATTATCATACCTGGGCCTGAAGGGATCAGGGGAGAGAGAATTTAGATAAAGTAGTTATGTTGAAAGGTCCTTCTGACAGGAAATTTAGCCTTTGGTCAGGAACCACAGTGATGGCCATCTGTCAGGGAGGAAGCCAGGGAAATAAATACTCTTGATCTCCCTCAAGTCTGCATGCATGCACCACTCCAATTGACTGAAATTCAACAGGAAGCCAGAGGGCAAAGGAGCCTGTTGATATAAAGCCTATGCAAGTTAACCTTCTGAGGCAGAGAAAGATAGAAAATTGCTCTGGAGGGAAGAATGGAAAAAAATTCACCTTAGATGGTCATCTAATAATTTCGAAGCACTTGAGCCTTTCATATTCAATACAATTTAGCAAGGTATAACTATATAGTTTAATGCACTTTAATATACAATACAATTTAGCTAGGTATAACTAACGTTTAATGCACTTTAATAGCTAACTTACAGTAACAGCACAGAAGACAAACAACATTAAAAACATGTACTTGCAACTAGGACAAAGTATAGTGAATGGATGGAATCTACTGTATGTTAAAAATGCTACAAATACCATTTAGTTGCTGTCAGTAAGAAATTTAATTGATTTTTAAAAAGCCCAAATGTTGGCATTGTACTAATAGGTTTATTTACAATTGTTATAAAGTTAAACTACTGAAACTTGTTCACTGAAAAATTTATGTCACTGCATTTATATTAAAAATCCACACAAATGAAAATGGAAAAATTGCTAATACCTGATTTCTGTCCCCTGTTTTTTCCATTTGCAGTCATATTCTTAGGTACCTGTTTAACCCAAGAGGCGGGGTAGGGGCCAGGAATCTAACATTCAGAACTACCAATAACAACAGGAACAAGATAATTTTTTTTAAAAGAATGAAATGTTTCCCATTATAGCGGATTCTTAAGCATGTTCTCCATGTATGCGGCATGCTAACTGGATGTCTTTTGGCATAATTGTTAACACATTGGGCATGGATAGCACACAGGTTGGTGTCTTCAAAAAGTACAGCCAAGTAGGCCTCACTTGCCTCCTGCACCTGTAGCTGCACTCTGGATGCGCAGATCTATTTTGAAGTCCTGAGCAATTTCTTGCATCAGATGCTGGAAGGGAGGTTTATAAATCAGAAGTTGGGTTGCTAACTTTAAGGCCAGCAGCTCGAAACTACCAGCTGTTCCTCGGGAGAAAGATGAGGCTTTCTGCTCCTGTAAAGGTTTACAGCCTCAGAAACCCTGTACAGGGTTGCTGTGAGTCAAAATTATCTATACGGGACATAACTACCACCACAAATTTTATGAAGTGCCACAGTTGTTGTTATGTGCCGTGGAGTCGGTTCCAACTCAAAGCGACCCTGTACAGGGTTTCCGAGGCTGTAAATCTTTATAGGAGCAGAAAGCCTCATCTTTCTCCCGCGGAACAGCTGGTAGTTTCGAACTACTGACCATGAGACTGCAGCCCAATTCGTAACCACTATGCTACCAGAGCTTCAGTACCAGGCCTGTAATGATGTTTTTTTCACCCCTCAAGTAGAGGGCACACTCTTATGAGCAGCTTTTGTGGGCATTTGCTTCCTGGGTTCTTGCTTTCCCACGGGTTGAGTTGGTGCTTTGTACAAGCCATGGTATAGCCTCTGCCTCACTTACCCCCTTTCTCCTTCAGCTGGAGCTCAGCGAGCTAGAGGTACTGCTGGCGTTAGAGAGTGACAGCAGTGCGGCAGTAGCCACAAACATCCTAACCTTCGACCTAACCTTTGAACTAATTTTTCCAGATCACATATGTATTTTATATTTTATTCTATGGGGACTGTACCATGATATTCTAATGCTTAGTTAAAAATAGAAATTTTAGAATTGGGGCTAGGGGTGATAAGTAGGGGCAGAAAGCTGAGACTGGGAGAAGAGACAGCTATTTCCTGCCACAAGGCATAGCTATCTGGTAGCAGCTTCTTAATGACTGCAGGCCCCTTACCCTTCTACAAGTAGTGATCTTTTCCAGGGGACTGAACACATTCAGCATTTCTATATGAAAGTTGACTTGGGTTGGGTATCAATTTTAGGCAGCAGTTGCTTGCCAGGTTTTATTACCTGTGTTTGAGGATCCAGAAAAAAATTCTGGTGGGTACAATTTTTCTGTGTCTTGTTCTTGCAAAAAGGTAGATTCCTAGAAGATTACCCATTTTGTGCACTGAATTATAAAGGGTAGACTGTGATGTTTGCTTCCCTGGTGGTTAGAATTTGAACGGTCTTATTTTGTTCTCCAACCTTCTGTAAGCCTGGGATATAGAAGTGAGTGTGATCTATTATGGCTATGTTTTAGACTCTGTGAAATCAGTGTTTTAGGGAAGTTGGTGAGGAGGGTTTTTATGCCAGTGTTCTAGCTGTGTATTCTAGCCCATTAACAATTTTGTTTTCCTGAACACATATTTTATTTAAAATTTTTTATTGTAAACACATACAGAAATTGAGTATTGTTGTTGTTCAGTGCTGTTGAGTCATTTCAGACTCACAGAGACCCAGTATAGGGTTTCTGAGGAGTAACTGGTTAACTTGAATCGCCAACCTTGCAGTTCAAATTGACCATGAAGTTCAGCTCATAAACCCACAGTGCCACACCAGGACTCCCAAATTGAATATAAGCCACCAGAAATCCATTACACTGTTCTAACAATTGTTGACATTTTTGACAACCTTGTTTTAACTTCCTTCTTTTTGTCAGTAGCATTTTAAGGAAAACCTTACAATCATTTAATTTTGCTTACAGTTTTGTATCGTTTTACTAATCAGGAGATTTCTTTGAAATAATCACCATGTTACACCCAGCAAGATTTAATAATTTTGATAATCACCTACTATTCAGATTGTATTCTGATGTTCTCACTTATCTTAAAATCTTTTTTACAGTTGGCTTGTTTGAATTAGGCTCCAAAGTCCACACATTGCATTTGGTTGATAGCAGCTAATTGTTATCAAGTTGAATCTGACTCATGGTGGCCCCATGTGGGTCAGGAGAACTGTGTTCCACAGTAGGATTTTCAGTGGTTGATTTTTTTCATAAGTAGATTGACAGGCGTTTCTTCCAAGGCATTCTGGGTGTGTAAAAGGTTAATGTGCTTAGTTGCTAACTGCAAATAGAAGGCTTAAGTCCACAGAGGTGCCTCAGAAGAAAGATCTGTCAATCTGTTGTTTTTGTTGTTAAGTGCCATTGAGTCGGTTATGACTCACAGGGATCCTGTATAGGGCTTCCAAGGAGCGACTGGTGAGTTGGAACCACTGACCTTGCGGTTCAAACCAACCTAATGGTTGAATATTTATCCTACAGCACCATACCAGGACTTCATTCTATAATAGTCCCCCTTTTCTAATTATTTTTCATACCATTGATTTGTTAAAGAAACAGGCATTTTTAATTGTAGAATATCTCACTTTAAAAGGAATTATTTTTTCACCTTTCATTTATGTGACATATAATGAGGAAGCATCAAAAAATTCATGGGAAAATTCCATTATCTTTCAATTCTATTTTTCACCAACTTTTTTTATTTCTCTCTATCTAAAATGCCATCGAGTCAATTCCTACTCATAGCAACCCTGTATAGGGTTTCCAAGGAGCTGGCTGGTGAGTTTGAACCCCCAACCTTGTGGTCAGCAGTCCATTGCTTATCCTACAGTGCCACATCAAATATCCTTCCTATCTATCTAATTTTTAAAAATACAAATCCTAACACAGTAATTTATCAAATAAAGAGGGAAACTGTTTTGTCCTTGTCCAGTTAAGTGCATTTAGATATATGGGAGGGGTTTTAAAGGTTATGCTTTAAGTGAATTAGCATCTGTTTAGTTTGAATTTAGTTTCAATATTTTTCCTTCACATGGAGGTGAAAGGTACATCTTACTGTATTATTTCCCTCTACTAGAATATAGGAGTCCTGGTGTGGCACTGTAGGATAAGCACTCGACCACAATGTCAGTTTGAACTGTAAGGTCAGCACTTCAAATCCAACAGTCTCTCGGAAACCCTATAGAGGGCTGCTACAAGTTGGAACTGACTTGACGACACTTAAGAACAACACTAGAATATAAGTTCCAAAAAAGGACCTTGTTTTGACCACTGATGTTTTTCAAAGACCTAGAATAGTGCTTAGGAATAGTCCAAAAAAATAATGGCATAATGCAAATGCCGTAACAGCTGAGTTTAGCCCTAAGGGTATGAATTTCAATTAGGAACATCTGTCTATTCTAGCTCAGTGTATATTTACTTGGTGTATAGTCCAGTTACTGTTCTTAGGACAGTTCTGAGTAGATTCATGGGTCCTGGGCACAATTGACAATATTGACCCTCTGAATTATTTTCTGGGAGGTGGTATAAAATAGACCTATTTGGAACCCTTGGTTTCTTTAGACATGAGTGAGTCTTCTAAGCGATTGTTTAGAAATTACTGGTCTTTTAGGTTAGAGAAATATAGAAGTGTCAGCTAGTACATTTGTCACTTTGTGGGGCATTTTTCTGTAAGTATGCCTTGATACAAATACTCAAGTCCAATATGAAGGTCTTTAAAAAGTTCATGGAAAAATGGAATTAAAAGATAAGGGAATTTCTCCACAAAATTTTTGAAGTCCCTTTTTATAATATGAATTCTCTAGCCCATTGTTTGTTCTTTTGGTGATGATTCTCACTTTCCCTTTTAGAGCTAAAGTTGCAGACAAGATCCAACTGATCAATAATATGCTGGACAAAGTCAATGAGATGATTATTGGTGGAGGAATGGCTTTTACCTTCCTTAAAGTGCTCAATAACATGGAGGTAGGAAAACAAATGAATGGCAGATAGCTCTCCATAATAGCAGGTTATACAAGTCTAAAAAGAAAACCAGCTTCTGATATGAGTCTCTAAAGCTCTCCCCATATTTTTATGTCTGTTTATTTTGGTGGGTTCTTTTGCCTTTTTATTACATTGTGTCTGTTTTGTGAAGTAATTATATTCTCAATACATCTTGACTCTTCTGTATAGATTGGTACTTCTCTATTTGATGAAGAGGGAGCCAAGATTGTCAAAGATTTAATGTCCAAAGCTGAGAAGAATGGTGTGAAGATTACCTTGCCTGTTGACTTTGTCATTGCTGACAAGTTTGATGAGAATGCCAAAACTGGCCAAGCCACTGTGGCCTCTGGCATACCTGCTAGCTGGATGGTGAGTCACTTTGGGTAGTTTGTAGTGAGTGAACAGAGACATTTTCATATCATTCATTGATCCATTCAGCCAACAAACATTTTTTTACAAAAAAACATTTTGACAGTACATCTCTGTAAGAGAGAAGGCTCCATATATTGAAGTGAGGTCCTCCCTTTTGGAGCAACCATATGAAGAAGCAATAGTTGATTGACGCTGTCTTCATCAGTAATGTGGGAGGCAAGACCGGCAGCATCAGTATTATTTTGGAACTTGTTAAAATGCAAGTTCTTGGATCCTGACCTTCTTGTTATGGTTAAGTGCTGTCAAGCTGACCCTCTTAGGGTTTCCAAGGAGCAGCTCGTAGGTTTGAATTGCCGACCTTGTGATTAGCAGTCCAGTGCTTATCCTACAGTGCCACACCAGGACTTACTTAAGGACTTACTTACATTGCGTAAGACCCAGCAATTTAACAAGCCCTTCTCAAACTCCAAAGTTAGAACCACTGGTGTAGTTCATTGTTTCTCAATCAAAGCCCTACTGACATCTTTTTTGTTGTTGTTTTTTGAAGTTTATTTATGCTTTATTGACTATACAAACACATTTGACTGTGTGGATCATAATAATCTATGCACAACACTGTCAAGAATGGGTATTCCAGAACACTGAGTTGTGCTCATGAGAAAACTGTACATAGACCAAGAGGCAGTTTTGGAACAGAATAATGCACTGAATGGTTTTAAATCAGTAAAGGTGCAAGTCAAGGTTGTATCCTTTCACCATACTTATTCCAACTGTATGAAGAGAGAAAAATCTGAGAAGCTGGATTATATGAAGAAGGATAGCACCAGGCAGATTTAGTCACTGAAAACATGAATAGCAGTGGAACACTGTCAGCACCAGAATATTGAATACTGAAACCTGATGAAGAGCAACAACATTGTCAGATATAGTGCCGGAAGATAAGCTCCTCAGTTTGAAAGGCATTCAAGATAAATCTGGGGAAGAGCTGCCTCTTCACAAAGTATAGTTGACTGTGATGACACGAATGGAGTACAGCCTTTGGGACCTTCATTTGCTGATTGGGCACAACTCAAAATGAAGAGAGACAGCTGTAAACATCCATTGATAATTGGAACATGGAATATACGAAGTATGAATCTAGCTATTGACATCTTGGGCCAGATAGTTTATCTTTTGGGGGGACTACTACATGTATTGTAAGATGTTTGAAATGTCCCTCACCACTAGATAACCATAGAACACCAAACATGCTTCCAGACATTGCTACATGTACCCTGGGGAGAGGCAGATTTGACTCTGGTTGAGAATGAACCATGAATCTAGTTCTTCACTATCACAAGTTGTCGAGAACTGGCCTTGACAAGAGAGTTTGGTTCACAAAGTAGGGAGATCTGGCGGTGACAGAGATAGAGAAAGAATACACACAAAGACAACAAGAGAGACAAGAAGACACCCCGGAACTAGAGTGGATGCATAACTGGCGTCAGACAGATCCTGCATTGTAAACATTTTGGCTATGCATGCCGTTTGCACACCTTGCCAACTGCAATGCCTGCCCATACTGCAAGCCGCAACGCATGCCTTGCCAGCTGTGACGCATGCGGGCTTCGGTCTGCATGTGGGCTTCGGTTTGCAGCTCCGTTTTATTTCTGGGAGGAGCTTTACACAAAGGAAGGCGGGGTTTATTAAGACGGGGTACAGAAGTGAAATGTGATTAGTCGTTCAAAACAGGACACCATGATTTACAGGAATCAAATTCTAAAACATACATCACAAATTGTCTTGATAATCTAACATCCTTAATTTTCCAGAAATTCAAGCAAATTTATATAGTACTTTTCTGGTTAGCAACTCGGTTTCTCCAGGCTAATTAACATACCTATAGCACCTAATCTCGAATGGGAAAAGGTGAAAAGGATTAGGAGGAGTCCCGCTGTGTCAGCTGCCTGGCAGGAGGAAGAGACTCCTAGGACAAAGATCTGCACCTGGGGGCGCTATTGTTCTTTGGACAAAACCCAGGAATTCGCCAATCCACTTTGGGTGAATTCCTTGGGGGAAACTTGTTTTTGGAACCTCTTCAGCCTAGGCTTTAGGAGCAGTTTTTGTTTTAATATTTGTCCATGGGTATCAAGGGCTCATGTATTAAGTTAATATCAAACATAACTGAATAGTTTGATAAAGAAAAGCCATGTTTGCCAGGTGGCCAGAGTTTTTTCCTCAGAGAGATTTGTTCCCAGAACCTTAAGCACTGCCAACACAGTGGAGACATTAAGAGAGGCACATAAAAAACCATTTTCTCAGAAGCTACAGTTACTGGAGTTCGAAGCATAGAATGATTTAATAGGACTAAAGCAAAGTATACAGAGCTAGCCTAACAGTGAGTTCGTAAAAGCCAATGAACCCGGGACGTCCGGAGGTTACTTCCTTGAGCCCTCAGGGTCTCTGGCCAGCAAGTCTGAGTGCGGCCATATGCTGGATTTTCGTCCTCAACATCCCAGTACCTGCGGTCTGCAACAAGTAGTGTGACTAACAATGTCTTTCCATCACTCATCTGTTGGTTTGTGTAGGGTAGTGGTTACGAGTAGGGCTGCTAATCTCAAGGTCAGCAGTTTGAAACTACTAGCCGTTCCATGGAAGAAAGATGAGCTTTTCTGCTTCTGTAAAGATTTACAGCCTTGGAAACCGTATGCAGGGTCGCTATGAGTCAGAACCTACTTGAGGACACTTTGTAGGAGTCCTAGTGTGGCACTGTATGATAAGTGCTGGACTGCTAACCACAAGGTCAGCTGTTCAAATGCACTAGCCGCTTTGTAGGAAACCTATTTGTTAAGTGCTGTTGAGTCGGTTCCGACCCATAGCGACCCTGTATAGGGTTTCCAAGGAGCAGCTGGTGAGCTTGAACTGCCAACCTTGCAGTTCAAACAGCTTTGCAGTCTGGCACATTAACCCACAGTGCCACACCAGAAAACCTATACATGGTCATTACGAGTTGGAACGAATCGATGGTACTTAAGGAGCTCTGGTAGTGTAGTGGTTATGAGTTGGGTTGCTAACCTCACGGTCAGCAGTTCGAAACTACCAGAAGTTCCGCGGGAGAAAGATGAGGTTTTCTGCTCCCATAAAGATTTACAGCCTTGGAAACCCTGTACAGGGTTGCTGGGGGTCAGAACCCACTGGACGGCACTTAACAACAACATTATGCTGAAGCTATGCCACTGGTATTTTAAATATCAGCAGGGTCACCCATGGTGGACAGGTTTCAGCAGAGGTACCAGACAGACAGAAGAGGAAAAAAGGTCTGGTGATCAACTTCCAAAAAATTAGTCATTGAAAAACCTATGGATTACAACAGACCTACTGCCCGATATAGGCCTAGAAGATGAGACCTCTAGGTTGGAAGGCACTCAAAATATAGTGGCTACAACAGTGGGCTCAAACATACCAGTACTCATTAACATAGTGTAGGAATGGGCAACATTTCATTCTGTTATATATGAGGTCAACAAGGTCCAACTTGACAGCAGCTAATAAGAATGTCTTTTTCAACTACCTTTTGAGATTTTGACTTAGACTTAATATTTTTTTAAAAAATTTTTTTTTTTAGACAAAAGGCAGTACAGCCTTCTATAAGACTTAAGAGTTTCTTTTGGTTCTAGAAGAAATGATGTTTAGCTTTGTGTTCTGGTCTTAGTGGAGGTGTTATTTGCTCCTCTAGCTTTTCTTGGTAGCTTATCTTCTTATCTCTACCCTTAGGGCTTGGACTGTGGTCCTGAGAGCAGCAAGAAGTATGCAGAGGCTGTCACTCGGGCTAAGCAGATTGTGTGGAATGGACCTGTGGGGGTATTTG